GGGGGAGGGGTTGAGAATAAAGTCTGTCCATTTTACATATGAGTAAACTTGATACCCAGTAGATGAAGAGATCAGAGGGATAAGAAAGGCAAAGTCAGGACTAGAACCCTTGGTCTAGTCCTCTTTATTTTAAACCACAGTGATAGGATCATAGCAGAAGATAAGGAAATTAGCTTTGATATATCAAATCATCCAGACTGATGCCAGGGCTTCTGGATGAATAGGGAAAATGGCTAAGCAATAAAGTCATAATTACCCCATCCAGTAGGAGAAGTTAACAAGAAGATGATGAAGTAGAAAATGAAGGAATAACCCAGTAGATGGAAAGGAAACCAAAACTAGTGAGAAGCCCAAGGATGCTGGGGTTTACCTCTGGGCTGATGATCAGAAAATGAAAGGGAAACCAGGCCTTCCTAGAAAGCAGAGCTCCCACAGTCCCCCACTTCAGAAAGGTGAATCCCTGAAGACCACTGGCTACCCCTCTCCCTGTAGGATTTTGACATTGCTGGAAACTTTGATCCCATGATCCCTGATGCAGAGTGCCTGAAGATCATGTGCGAGATACTGAGTTCACTTCAGATAGGCGACTTCCTGGTCAAGGTCAGAGATGACAAGGATGGGAGGGCAAAGTTGGGCCTGGCCTCTCACAAGAAAAGATCCTTGTGCAGAGGGACCAGTAGCCCAAGTGACCATGACTATTGACGGTCATGTAAGAAAAGAGACTCCCCCCTCACTATGTGTTGGTTCCCTGTAGGTAAATGATCGGCGCATCCTAGATGGGATGTTTGCCATCTGTGGTGTTCCTGACAGCAAGTTCCGTACCATCTGCTCCTCAGTAGACAAGCTGGACAAGGTAACAACCCAAGTACTTGACTTCTTCTTTCAGATCCCACCCTGTCTTGGGAAATGGAAAATAAGATTGAGAGAGAGGTGCATGACTCTATACCCACCAGAGGAAGGTTAGCCCCAAGATGTAGGCTGATGGGCAGCTACTGCTCCAGGACTGTTTCCTGAGGACAGTACGTACTTGCTGTATGGTGCAGAAGCTACCCAGGGTCCCTGACTGATGTCTGTCTGCCTAGGTGTCCTGGGAAGAAGTGAAGAATGAGATGGTAGGAGAGAAGGGCCTCGCGCCCGAGGTGGCTGACCGCATTGGGGACTATGTCCAGCAGCATGGTGAGGAACAGAACCAAGCTTCCCCGGCAGCCATCCCACTGCCCTCAGTTCTAAAGTTGAAACTCTTCTGTGTATGTAGGGGAGCAAGTGTGTGTGTATCTGTATGTATGTACACACACATGCACAGGCAACTGGACTTCAGGCAAGAAAGTCAACCCCCCCCTTACCTTTTTTATTTTCTTGTCAGCCTCACTCACAAGTCTCTCTCCCCAGGTGGGGTATCCCTGGTAGAACAGCTGCTCCAGGATCCTAAACTATCCCAAAACAAGCAGGCCTTGGAGGGCCTGAGAGACCTGAAGCTGCTCTTTGAGTACCTGGCCCTATTTGGCATTGATGACAAAGTGAGTCAATTTGGAGATGGGATCCCTTCTGAGCTCTGGGGCTTCAGGTCCCTGATCTTAATCTGGCACTGACTATGTTCTTATCTCCACAGATCTCCTTTGACCTGAGCCTTGCTCGAGGGCTGGATTACTACACTGGGGTGATCTATGAGGCAGTCCTGCTACAGACCCCAGCCCAGGCAGGGGAAGAGCCCCTGGGTGTGGGCAGTGTGGCTGCTGGAGGGCGCTATGATGGGCTAGTGGGCATGTTTGACCCCAAAGGACGCAAGGTGCCATGTGTGGGACTCAGCATTGGGGTGGAGCGGATTTTCTCCATTGTGGAACAGAGACTGGAGGTAGGTCCTTGGGGGTGTAGAAGACAGACTGAGCAGTGGTGGTACCCAAGCTATCTGATCTCTAAGGGAGCAAGTGGTGCTGCTTTGGGCAGGGAGCATCTCACAGAAATGGAGAAAAGATTATTGCTCTTTTTCACAGATTCCCACCCCATTATAGGCCAGTTTTATGGATCTTTAATCCACAATATTTCTCCACTAAATCCTCTGCCCTAGGTCCCTACTTCCTTCAGGGCTGTCACAAACTTGGGCTGGTGTATCCAAGACCTAGATCATCCTCATAATACAGAATACTTAACATTTTACTGTCTCGTGCCAGGCACTGTGCTTGGTGCTTTTCATGCATTATCAAAATACAGTACTTACCACAGTCCTCTGAGAGTAGCTAACTTTATTAATTGCATTTTCCAGATGAGAAAACTAAAGCATTATAGATCAAACAATTTGCTAAAGGCCTGAAACTTGTAAGTGATAGAATTTGAATCCAGGCAGTCTGACTCCAAAGTCTTGCCACTAACTACACTATAATATTGTCTCTAAATGGGAAACATGTGCATGAGGTCCTGGTATCCCTTAGATGGCTACCTTGACTGTCTGGCACCTAGAATAACACCAAGGAAGCCTCTTGTGGCCCCAACACCACTTGGTTGCTGCTGATCTTAAGTGGCTGGTTGCATTTTATCCTCTGGGAAATGCTCTGGCAACCTCCCCACAGTCCTTTGCCTTTTCTCTAGCGTTGAAACTACCCGTTTCCCAGTTGAGATCATTCTTCCAGTAGGCATCTTACGTTGTATAAACTCTGAAAATAGTTGTCCCAAAAAAGACAAGGGGCAGCAGCAACAGCAGCAGCAGCATTCTCCTTTCCCCTCACCCATACACACCCCCACCTGTGTCTGTAACTGAAGTGTGAGAGGCATAGTGTCATAAATGGGTAGATAGTAAGTAGGGACTAGAAATGCCCAGGGTGATCTAATTACCTGGGGTAGGCTCATAGTAGTACTTCTGTGTGAATGCTTTGGTGGACCCTTAAGGTACTAAATGGACCAGCTGAGCAACATGGAGACCCTGGCTCTACAGTTTAAAAAAAGAAAAAAAAAATTTTTTTTTAATTAGCTGAGCATGGTGGTGTGTGCCTGTATTTGGCTGAGGTGGGAGGATCACTTGAGCTCGGGAGGTTGGAGCTGCAGTGATCATGCCACTGCACTCCAGCCTGGGCAACAGAGACCCTGTCTCAAAAAAAAAAAAAAAAAAAGTTGGGCGGTGTGGGGCTGGGTGCTGTGGCTGACACCTGTAATCCCAGCACTTTGGGAGGCCGAGGTGGGTGGATCACAAGGTCAAGAGATCGAGACCTCTCTGGCCAACCTGGTGAAACCCATCTCTACTGAAAATACAAGACTTAGCTGGGCATGATGGCAAGCACTTGTAGTCCCAGCTACTCGGGAGGCTGAGGCAGGAGAATCACTTGAACCGAGGTGGCTGAGGTTACAGTGAGCCAAGAACGCACCACTGCACTCCAGCCTGGTGACAGAGCGAGACTTCGTCCCCAAAAAAAAGAAAAGTTACCTTTACCCTTGCCCTAGGTTATTTATTCTGATACATCCTACGTACAAGTCAGTCACTTCAGTCCTTGTATCTTCTAAAAGCTACCTTATGCCCAAATGCTAGATTAGAAGACAGGGCCCCTGTCCTGGTAGAGCTGAGTTGGGCTTGGTCTCAAAATCCTGACTAGAGCCTGCTTTGTTTGTTCCTTGAAGGGGTTAGCCCAGCTCTCTGACTCTTATCTGCCCCTTCCCCAGGCTTTGGAGGAGAAGGTGCGGACCACGGAGACACAGGTGCTTGTGGCATCTGCACAGAAGAAGCTGCTAGAAGAGAGACTAAAGCTTGTCTCAGAACTGTGGGATGCTGGGATCAAGGTATGGGAGGCAAGCCCCAGAGTGGCAGCAAACTTGGGTGTGCTGGGCACAAACTGAATAAAAGCGCACTCATAATGGATCCTGCCCTAACTTCTTGAGGTGGAGCGAAGAACACGGTGCCAGCTTGGACACCCAGGAAGGTGTCCCTGAGGACAGCAGAAGCCAGTCTTCCTCTTCTGCTCTTGTTCCGTGCAGGCTGAGCTGCTGTACAAGAAGAACCCAAAACTACTGAACCAGTTACAGTACTGTGAGGAGGCAGGCATCCCACTGGTGGCTATCATCGGCGAGCAGGAACTCAAGGATGGGGTCATCAAGCTCCGTTCAGTGACTAGCAGAGAAGAGGTGAGGGAGGCAGACAAGAAGGCTAAGGGACAGAGAATGTATGCCATTTTGGCAGGCCCATGCCCATTCAAGACCTGAGCAAAAGCCTGGCATTCATATTAGTACCAACTCATAAAGGACTTGAGAGTTTAACCTGTTACTGTGGTCTTAGTAGGGTGAGATCTCCATCCCTGCGTACACCCTGGGGGTCTTGGCGCCCCCAGGAGGTACACTCTAGCCTGAGGTTAATTAGGTTCCTGCTCTCAGCTGAGACAACCCTGATGCGTAGAGGGTTAGAGGAAACTGTTGGTTCTCAGGGAGCAGGGGAATTGAAAATGCTTATACCACCTTCTTTTTCCATCCTGGCTAGGTGGATGTCCGAAGAGAAGACCTTGTGGAGGAAATCAAAAGGAGAACAGGCCAGCCCCTCTGCGTCTGCTGAACTGAGCACACTATCAGAGGAAAGGAAGTGGGACTGGCACTATTTGAGGCTAAGACAAACTGCATATGTACTTCAGCTGCTTTGCACTTTTCCATTTCAGCAAGACCTGAAGAGTGGTCAGAACAGAGCCTTTAATTTTTATGATGGTTATTTTATTGATTACTGGCAAAAATGGCCAGGTAGTACACCTTTTTCATACAAAGCCCTGGGAGCTTAATCCAGTCTGTGTTCCTGGGCTACAAGGACCCAGCCTGAGATGCTCTCATCTACAGAGCCCCACACCAGATGAAGCAGATGCCGCCCTACAACCAGTCGCTAAAGGTCCAATAAAATGCCTCATGCCTCAACCATGGAGCCTGCTGTGTCACTGATGCCTAGCTCCGCGCCTTTCGGGGCAGACCACAGTAGGGTTGAAAAAGGGAGACAGTAAACCCGTGACCCTGAGGTTCTTGCCTCCAGCGTCCACCCTGCGACTCCCACTTGGGAGCTCCTCCTCTGGAGGCAGCCCCCAAACATACACTGCTAGTGTTTGCGGCTTTCACCTGAGGGTCTGAGCGAAGCCCCGCGGCGCACGTGCAGTGAATACCTCCACCCCCTTGGGGGGCGGGGTCGCGCCCAGAGCCAATGAGAGCTTGCGAGGTGGAAGGGTAGGGAAGCTTCCAGAGGCCGGTGGGAAGGAAGTTTTAAAGAGGGTACAAGGGGACTTGCGGGAGAGTCATGCAGTCCAAGCGGGATTGTGAGGTAAGCGGCTGGCGACTTGGGGGCTGGCGAACCCTGCTAGGGCGGGTGTAGGCTTTAGGGACCCCAGTATCACAGGAGAGGTGGGGGGCGGGCTTGGCGATCCGCCATTCCACCCTGCCTTTCCTTCTCAGCTGTGGTGTGAGAGGGTGAATCCAGAAAACAAGGCAGCGCTGGAGGCGTGGGTCAGGGAGACAGGCATCCGCCTGGTGCAGGTGAACGGGCAGAGGAAGTATGGCGGGCCACCCCCAGGTACGATAGTCCCAGCCGGCCAGCCTCTACTGCCCCGAACAGCCGCCTTTGGGGGAGGGGTTGCGCCGAGCCTTCACTGTCAGAACTGCGAACTACCCGGATTTATGCCCCCAGCAAAGGAGGATCTGTGCCTCCACGTCCACCCGCCCCGTCGAGGGAGGGGGCCAGTCTCAAGGTGTACCTACTCTCTGCCAGCCCCCTTGCTAGCGCGGTCACGTAATTATGCCAACCACCCAGTGTACGGGTGTAAACCCATTTCACAGACCTTTGTTCACATCGCCTCCCACCCCCGCGCGCTGGGTCCGTGGGCTAAGAATTCGAAAGTGTCTCATGGTGGCCTCGCATACCCCCTTCCCACAGGCTGGGTGGGCAGGCCGCCGCCAGCCGGATCAGAGGTATTCATCGGGCGGCTGCCCCAGGACGTGTACGAGCACCAGCTTATCCCGCTGTTCCAGCGCGTGGGCCGCCTCTACGAGTTCCGCCTGATGATGACCTTCAGCGGCCTGAACCGCGGCTTCGCCTATGCCCGCTACAGCTCGCGGCGCGGCGCTCAGGCCGCCATCGCCACGCTGCACAACCACCCGCTGCGGCCGTCTTGCACGCTACTCGTGTGCCGCAGCACTGAGAAGTGTGAGCTGAGCGTGGACGGCCTGCCGCCGAATCTGACCCGCCGCGCACTGTTACTCGCGCTGCAGCCGCTGGGTCCCGGCCTCCAGGAGGCGCGGCTGCTGCCCAGCCCTGGACCGGCGGCCGGGCAGATCGCTCTGCTCAAATTCAGCTCGCACCGGGCCGCTGCCCTGGCCAAAAAGGCGCTGGTGGAAGGTAGGCTGCTGGTCGGGGGAGGCTGGTTGGGGCCAAACCGGTTCTGCCAGGCAGTTTATACTGAGCATAGCTGTTAAAGTTACAAGACCTTAGAGTCAAGCATGCCAGAATTTGCAGCCTTTTATTATTTGATCTCAGATTTTTAAAACTTAAAATGGTGCTACTAACACCACTTACCTAAATTTGTAACACTACCTGAGCATTATCTTCTGACTTAATCCTCAACATTCCCCCACCCCACCCCGCAAAATAGGCACAGGACCCTCCAGCTATGAGGAAACTGTTAAATTGATTTGCTCAAGGGAATCCAACTGAGCCTTTTACTACTATAGAACCTGTTTTCTCAGACTGTTTTGACAATGGGTGTGTATGGTACTTAGCACACTGACTTCTAGCAAGTTTTCACAGTAAAGATTGGCCATTATGATGGTTATGAGGCAGACAAATACTGCATTAATCAGTACTCCTCCAAGGAAACTGCTAATGTAGCAGTTGTGTTACCCTCCCTTTGCAAGTAATGGAGCTTGAATGCTTCTTTTCTTACCCTTGGTTACACTACCAGGAAATGGGAAAGCTACAAATTATAAGCCTGGGTTGCTGCTCCAAAGGGCTTACAGCCTGGAGGCTTGGACCCAGGGTTTAGATCTGCCCTTGTCTTTTTTTCCTGCAGGGCAATCACACCTCTGTGGAGAGCCTGTCGCTGTGGAGTGGCTCAAGCCAGACCTGAAGCAGCGACTCCGTCAGCAGCTTGTGGGTCCCTCCTTGCGGTCCCCACAGCCAGAAGGCAGCCAGTTGGCCTTGGCAAGGGACAAGTTAGGGTCCCAAGGGGCTCGAGCTACCCTGCAGTTGCTGTGCCAACGAATGAAGCTGGGGAGCCCTGTGTTCCTTACTAAGTGTTTGGGCACCGGGCCTGCTGGCTGGCACCGCTTCTGGTACCAGGTCGTGATCCCTGGGCATCCAGTACCCTTCAGTGGCCTAATCTGGGTTGTGCTGACCCTAGATGGGCAGGATGGGCATGAGGTGGCCAAGGATGCTGTGTCTGCACAGCTGCTGCAGGTACTCACTGAGTCTGGGGCCAGCCTCCTGTGGTCTGCTGGAGCTGAGGCACGTACCATGGTTAGACAGTGACTCCATTCTCTCTCCAGAGGCAGCCTGAATGGGCAGGCAGAGCCTGTGTCAGGCTCCAACCCAGCAGGCCTGGGTGGCCACTATCTGACCCCAAAGGTGGGGAGGGACATGGCCCCAAGCCCTTTAGCCGCCCTGCTGGGAGGGGGCAGCTTAGGTTTGGCCTAAATTATGGTGAGGGCCCTTGCCTTTCTCCTCTCAGCCCAGGGTCCAAACTGATCCTGTGATCTAACATGGCCATTCCTTGTCCCACACCCATCCTATCTATCATACCTTTTCCCTCTCCCACAGTTTAGCATGAATCTTTATTGTCCTGATTTGTCCTCTTTGTTGGTTATTTAGGGGTAGGGGCAGCTGAGCCAAAGGGTCAGAAATCCTGCCCTTTGCCTCCACCACATGGCATTCTGCTTTCGGTTTTTGTAGTTTTGGGTTTTTCTGTGCTGGTTGTATTTATATTAAACCCCTGGTTAGTATATGCTTGTGTCTGTGCCGTCTTGCCACAGCTTCGAGTTTGTCTTATACTGGCAGAGTGAATAGCTGCTACGGGGTAAGTACTTCCTCACATCAGTGCTTTGAGTGCATCTTTCTTGTGTTGCACCGTAGGGTATTATAAATTAATATTCAAGCCAGGTGTGGTGGCTCACACCTGTAACCCCAGCACTTTGGGAGACAAAGGCAGGCAGATCACCTGGGTCAGGAGTTCAAGACCAGCCTGGTCAGCATGGAGAAACCCCCTCTACTAAAAATACAATAATTAGCCTGGCATGGTGGAAAGCAGCTGTAATCCCAGCTACTCAAGGAGGCTTAGGCAGGAAAATCGCTTGAACCTAGGAGGTGGAGGTTGCAGGGAGCAGAGATCACGCCATTGCACTCCAGCCCAGGCAACAAGAGAAAAACATAACAAAAAAAAAAAAAATTGGGTCAGTTGTGGTGGTACTCATGCCTGTAATCCCAGCACTTTGGGAAGCAGAGGCAGGTGGATCATTTGAGTCCCGGAGTTGAAGACCAGCCTGGGCAGCACAGACCCATTTCTACCAAAACAAATACAAAAAAGCCTGGTGTGGTGGTACACACCTGTAGTCCCAGCTACTCCAGAGGCTGAGGTGGAAGGACAACCTGAGCCTGGGGATGTTGAGGCTGTAGTGAGCCATGATTGAGCCAGTGCACACCAGTCTGGATGACAGCGAAACCCTGTCTTTTTAAAAAATAATTTATATCCTCTGGGGAATGCAGCCTAATAAGCAAGACTCTTGCCTGGTGAGGAATCAGTTCATTCCCTCAGTCACTGTCATCCCCAGTCTCCTCCTCCTCCTTTTCCTGAGCCATGAAATCTTCTGCCTCTTCCCTCAGTCCTGCAAAGAAGTCATCGGTGCTCCAAGCCTTGCTGCTCAGGGCCCGCAGTGGTCCTCCCTTTTTCTTGCGCCGACGGTAGTCATCCACCACCACAGCTCGCAGCTGGGCCATGTCCCAAAACTTGAGGCGCTGGTCATGGCCACTACTGGCCAGGAAGCAGCCACAGTGGGAAAGGGCCAGCTCCTCCACAGGCTCCCCAGCATGCTGGCCCACACTGCCTACCACTCGGTTCGGTAGGATGTTCACAGCCCTGGACAGGAAAGAACAGTGTTAAATACTGGCTAGCTGGGCCTGCCCATCCTGAGACCTAAGGGCTGTCCAGGCCTCCCTAACCTGATGACTCCATCGGTGGAGCCAGTACACAGCAGACTCTCGGTGACTGGAACCATGCAGTCAATGGATTCGGCTCTCAGGGCAAAGCGGTCACTTGTGGCCCCAAAGCCATTCCAGTTGAAGAGGTAGATGGTACCTTCACTGGAGCCACAAGCCACCTTCTTCCCACACTGCAGGGGAATAGGGAAAATTATGTGGAAGCTGCCTTAGACTAAGCCCCCAGCACACACCCCTTCATCCCACCATACCCAGCTGTACTTTCATGAGAGTGACAGAAGTCAGATCCCCAGACTGAGGCTCTGAGAGCAGCTCGAACCGACGCCTCTTAATGTTGAAGACACCAAGGCAGCCATCTCCACTGTAAAGAGTAGAGCAATAGGCTTAGACACAAGGTCCATTTGAGGAAGACATTTCACACAAGAAGGGGAGGCGAGGCAGCTTTGAGGTAGTACCTGGCTGTCAGCAGCAGCTTCTTGGCTGGATCCAGAGCCATGTCTGCGATGTACTCTTCATGTTGCCTCATATCCATGAAGGGGCCCTCCTTCCGCTGGTCCCAGAGACGGATACTACCCATGTCATCCCCAGTGGCCAGAACATTCTCATCCACCAGCAGAAGACTGTTGATGGGGGCGCTAGAGACACAGATGCAGAACTTCTTGGAGCATCTTTGTCCCAGGAGGGGACCTCCTGGTCCTTCCCCTTCACCTCCATGCACATACACAGAACTGGCTGCTCTACTTACCCATGAGCCTTGGAAACACGCCTTTCCAGTCGGCCCTGCTCCACATCTAGAACATGGATGGCTTTGTCCTTGGAGACAGTAATGAGCTCTGGAGAAAAGGTGCCCAGGTCATGGTGCTGCTCACTGCTCCCTTCCACCACATTGTTGGTTGCCTTCCCCAGTACTCACTCTGCCCATCTTGAGAGAAGGCCACAGCTCGGCAGGCCTTCAAATGGTGACCTGATGACCAGAGCTCCTTGGTTTCTCCCTCTTGGCAAGAGTAGGAAAAGCTGGGGAGAGGGGAAGGAGGATAAATGACTCCAGACCCAGCCTGGGTTGCACTGAGTGCAGAGACCAACTAGACAGAGCAGCCTTCCCACCTACCTAGGAGTTCCTGTTTCTACACCTCCAAGCCCAAAAAGTTTACCATCTCATTTCTCCACTTTCAGTGAGTTTCAAATGTTAGGTCTTTTTTTCAATATACAGTAATTCAAGGTATGTTTGCTCAAGATGTCTTTGTGATCTCACCCAACCCCTCTTTATCATCTTTGAAAGCCCCAGCCTGGAGAAAGATTGCATCTGGATCACTGTGGAGGAAATATTTGTTATATCAATGACAAGACCAGCTCCAGAAGTTAGAAATGTAAAAATTAGTAAGGTAGAGCAGGCTCTTGCACTTCAGGTCTGCAGGAGCTAGAGAAAGACACAATTAATTACAGTACATTGAGAGTACATGCTGAAAAACAGGCTGGATCAAAACGGAGTTGGGGGGAGGCACCAGCCTATAAGCAACCTTGAGGTAAATACTGTTTACAGAATACCCCCAGTGCCTGCCTCAGAGCAGATCCCTTAAAAAGGGCAGAATGAATACATGTTAAGTTGCCAGTGAGTCCCAGGTGGCCAGAACTGAGCCTGCTCATTTTCTCTGTCCCAGTGCCTAACATGAAAAAGTAGCTTAATACACATTAACAGATTCAGTACTTGGGAAGGGAGAAGAGAGCCCTGGAAAGCTAAAGTGGTGACATGTGGATTGGATCATACAAGAGTAACAGTTTACCTGGCTGAAAGCAAGGAGCAGATACTGGAGGCAGCAGAGAGAAGCAACGAGGAGGGTTCCTTGTAGCAGAAGAGTAGCATGACTGAATCTGGAAAGATGGGCTGGGTGGGTATGAGACCATATGAGCCAAGAGGAAGTTTGAATTTAATCCTCTGGGGAAAAGAACCTATTAACAATAGTCCTGGCTGAGGGTGGGGAAGGGGAGAACCAAGGAGTTTCCTCCAGAACCTTTTTTAAGACAAGGTAAGCAACAAAGTTGTGTGGAATGTGAAGAAAGGTGGATGTCTAGCGCAACTCCCAAGTGCCTGGCACCATAAATATGGATAGTAATAGAAGGGAACCTACATTTGTTGAACAGCTGCTTAGGCGCTGTACTGAAAACTTGCCCCCTCCACAAGGCGGTGTAATTCCCCCTTTCAAAGATGAAAATAGAGAAGTTAACATGCTAAAGGACAGCTAATGAGAGGTTGAGGTTTAAATTCATTAAGTAAATCTCATAAGCACAAAATCTTCATTTTTCCACTGCTTCTAACCTGTATCTTCTGTTCAAAGTCTAACATGTATTGAACACCTACCCTAGACTAGAGGTAAGAGATAAAATAGAGAACAAAACCAATGACAGATTACATCCAGAACAGTGTTTTTCACATTCTAGTCATATAATTGACTAGGAAGCTACAATCAGCATTTTGTGTACATGCACACAATAACAATAAAATCAGAAATTGTATCAGAGAGCATCATATATAATGTAAAAGGTATTTGTGGGGCAAGGTCAAAGACATTTGAAAAACGTTAGTGAAGGAGACAGCATTCAAATAATTACATAAATGGATGTATGGTTACCAACCATTCATTAGTAAGAGAAAGGTACTATGGCACCTGGTACTATGGCAGCATCCAACAGGTAACCAATTTTAGTCTGGGCATAGAGGAAGAGGAAAGAGATCCTGAGAACTCAGAGACAGTAGGTTAAGAATGAGGGGAAAGGAGTTTTCCAGGCAGAATAGCACATGCAAAGGAGCTGAGGTTTCAAGATGTATTTTTAAAAGGTATGGATGAATGAGCACAGATGGGTGTTGAAAGCCAAATTGAGAAGTTTGTACTAAATCCTAAAAGCAGACCATTGAAGGGTTTTAATCAAGGGAGTGTCTGCTGGGATTTATGTTGTTTTGTTCTTTTTGAGTCTCACTCTGTCATCCAAACTGGAGGGTAGGGTTGTGATCTTGGCTCACTGCAACCTCCACCTGCCAAGTTGAAGAGATTCTCCTGCCTAAGGCTCCCATGTATCTGGGATTACAGGTGTGAGCCACCACATCCAGCTAATTTTTGTATTTTTAGTAGAGACAGGTTTTCACCATGTTGGCTGGTCTCCAGCTCTGACCTGAGGTGATACGCCCTCCTCGGCCTCCCAGAGTGCTGCGATTACAGGTGTGAGCCAAGATTTGTGGTTTGAAAGATCAACTAAAGGGGCCTGGGGAGGCTCTCGAGCTCAATATAATAATCCAGTAGGACTCCAGGTCGGGTGGATCACGAGGTCAGGAGTTCAAGACCAGACCGGCCAAGATAGTGAAACCCCATCTCTACTAAAAATACAAAAAAATTAGCCAGGTATGGTGGCGGACGCCTGTAATCCCAGCTACTCCGGAGGCTGCTGTGAGCCGAGATCGTGCCACTGCACTCCAGCCTGAGCGACAGAGCGAGGCTCCATCTGAAAAAAAAAAAAAATTAATAAAGTAATAATAACCCAGTGGGAAATAAGTCCTTAAAGCGCTTTTTGTCCTACTATGGTCTCTGGGCTCCGTCAAGACATTCCAGTTCTTTCAACAAATTGGTGTGGTATAAAAGCCGAATGTTACTGAATGAATTGGGCCCACTGAATCTTATAAAATTTGTCTCCCTGCAACTTTCTCTCATCCCTCCTGTTCCCAGCTCCATCCCCGGGGAGCTTCAAGACCCGGCGCCCCTGGCCCTGCCCCGACTCACACGAACACGTCCCCGTCCACGTCCCCTGCAGCCAGCAGGTCGCGGGCCGGGTGGAACGCCAGCCCACTGGCAGGAGCTTCCAGCACGATGTCTTCCGGAGTGTCTCGGATCTGGGCCGGGGCTTCCATGGAGTTAGGGTCCTCCTCGTCACTCTCTTCCTCAGCGGGCCTCTCCTCACAAGTACGGTCCATGCTGGGAAGGACTGCGAACCGCGCCGCCGCAGAGCAGTCAGCCCCGGAACCACCCACACCGCGGAAGGAGTAGCCTGAGACTCCACTTCCGCCGGGGGGCGGGCAGGGCCGGAAGCGTCGTCGGGAAATTCTCTTACGGGAGAGGTAAGTGTCACTGCTGGTGTGGGTGGGCCGGAACGAAGAGACTGCGCCCACGAGATCTGCTACTTCCTTGTCCTGCTGTGGCCCGGTTTGGGCTAGGTAGACTGCGACCGTCAGTTCCCTCCCTAGTCACGTTACGTAAAGTTGGGAACGGCGTGTAAATCCTTTCCTCTCCCACTCCATCCAGACAAGCTTAACGCCCTTGGGATAAGAGAGAGGGACGCTAGTCCTTCGTGGCTTGGTAAAATCCAAGATCAAGTGAAGCGACAGCCAGCGCTGTCAGGAAGCCGCAAAAGCCCACGCTGCGCGGTGACAACGGGAGTCTCGGGCAGCAGGCAGCTCAAGCAGCTGCTGTCCATGCCCCTAACATCTTTGTGTCCAGTTTCCTGTGCCAGTTCCTACAATTTGCCTACAGAAACTCAGTGGGCTGGACAAACAATGCTCAGTTACCAAGAAATTTTTTTTCTTAGCCGAGAGCGATGGCTCGCGCCTGTAATCCCAGCACTTTGGGAGGCCAAGGCGGGTGGATCACGAGGTGAAGAGATCGAGACCATCCTGGTCAACATGGTGAAACCCCGTCTCTCCTAAAAATACAAAAAATTAGCTGGGCATGGTGGCGCGTGCCTGTAATCTCAGCTACTCCGGAGGCTGAGGCAGGAGAACTGCCTGAATCCAGGAGGTGGAGATTGCGGTGAGCCGAGATTGCGCCATTGCACTCCAGCCTGGGTAACAAGAGCAAAACTCTGTCTCAAAAAAAAAATTCTTTTTTTTTTTGCTTTGTTTTGTTTTGAGACAGGGTCTTGCTCTGTCGCCAGGCTGGAGTGCAGTGGCATGATCATTTTTCAGTGCACCCTTGACCTTCTCAGCTCAAGCAATCCTCCTGAGTGGCTGGGACTACAAGCACACAGCACCATACCCAGCTAATTTTAATATATTTTGTAAAAACGAAGTCTCACTATGTTGCCCAAACTGACCTTGAACTCCTGAGCTCAGTCTTCCTGCCTCAGCCTCCCAAAATGCTAGGATTATAGGCGTGAGCCACTGTGCCAGGCAGGAATTTCTAAAAAGGAAAATGGGCATGACAGGCTGACGATCTGGACATCCCTGTTACCAAAGGCTCTGCAAAGATGGGAGCTTTCTCCATTGTAGGGATGGTAGGCAGACGAAGAGCAGGTGCTCCTACAGCTGAAGAGAGAACTTGTTCACATCTTTGTGGTACTTAGCCTTCTAAGACATCCTATATACTGACGCCAACACTCTTACAGAGAGGTCAAAGTGAGATTGAAACCTCAGAGAGGCTCTGTGGCCCATGTTCGCTGAGTGACTGGAAATGTTGCTGTGTGGTGTTGAGTCCTTGATACTATGTGGTCAACTGGAGGGTCCTTGTAGTCACTTTCATGAGGTTTAGTGGTACTTGAAGAAACTCTTTTTTTTTAGATGGAGTTTTTCTCTTGTTGCCCAGGCTGGAGTGCAATGGTGCCATCTCAGCTCACTGCAGCCTTCCCCTCCCAGGTTCAAGCTATTGTCCTGCCTCAGCCTCCGGAGTAGCTGGGATTACAGATGCCTGCCACCACACCTGGCTTTTTTTTTGCATTTGCAGTAGAGTTGGGGTTTCACCATGTTGGCCAGGCTGGTCTCGAACTGCTGACCTCATGTGATCCATCCACCTTGGCCTCCCAAAGTGCTGGAATTACAGATGTAAGCCACAGTGCCCAGCCCCTGAATTTCTCTTTTTAAATCAACATCTTGCTCTGTCAGCCAGGCTGGGAGTTCAGTGGTGTGATCATAGCTCACTACAGCCTTTAACTCTTCCGCTTATTCCTCCTCTGTAGCTGGAACTACAGGCTCACAAACTCCTGGCCTCAAGAGACCCTCCTACCTTGGCCTCCCAAAGCACTGAGACTGTGGGCATGAACCATTGAGCCTACCTAGCCTCAGAAACTGAATTTCAAACCAACAGTCAACCCTCAGGTCTTGCTTTTAGTGACCCTCCAGATGTCTTAATCTGTGCCATGTCTCTGTGACCTTTTTTACTAACTGGGACTGCTGCCTACATCCATGGAACCATGGTGTCATTTGTCTGAAATTAGCCATTCTAGGTGCTATTGCAGTAAGGCCCAATTTCAGCCTCTTAAGTGCCATGCACAATGCTGGCTTCCTCACAAAACTCTGTCGTACCAAGGTGAATATAATCAAAGACAAGGCAATGGCTAAGGTGACTTTATAGCTTTCTTGATCTGGTGAGGCCACAAATCTTTGGCTCAAAGTAGACAATGGCAGCCTGGCATCCAGCCAGGAAGCAGTAGTGACCCCTAATGATGAGCACCAGACCAAAGTGCTGGTAATGAACAGAAAGGAAGGAAAGAGCAGGGAATTCAAAGGCTGGCAGGCCTATCCTGGGCCTTTACAAATGTTTCAGGCTGATGAAGGGACTAGGATAGGAATTCCTAACACTGCAGGGCCACACTATACCAGCCGTAAACCCAAAGCACTTCCCTAAGGTTACACCTTCAGCCAAGGAGGCAGTTATTTGTACTCGGCATTAATAAAGTTCATAGGAGGCCATAAACTCATAAAAGGTTTTGGTTCCCACCCATAAGTGATTTTCATTAGATGCCTTCATCCAGAGCCCAGTTCATAGCCTGGGGATCAGATTAGCAGCCCATCAGGCTGACTGCAATCCCCAGGAAATCTCTGTCCAGGGACTAGGCCTCAAGATGAGTCTGAATGAGTCTGCCATTTCAGACAAATCATCCTTACATTCCTCTACCACCTCTTGCCCATCAATGAGGATAATTATTCTGTTCTATACTGGGCACACTGGCTAGAAAGCATTCTTACTGTCTAGGAATCTAGAACCACAGTTGAGGAAAGGACTGATAACTTTCTGCATGTGATTTTACACAACCAGTGGAATTAGTGTTCTTGGTGCTTAAGGGGCACTGGAGGGGAGATGAATAGAGAAGACAGCAGGTTAACCAATTTTAATGGAACCAAGTAATTACACAATAGAATTTTATATTCATCCACAAAAAAACATCTTGCAACCTTTGGAAATTGTAGAAAGAAAACGGTGGGGAGCATATCCTTGTGGAGAGTCTCCAGTTGTAACTGGAGATTAGTATTTTGGTCTTTTGACTTCAACCCTGCAATGGAAGGAAAAATGGGTCAGCATAAGATCAATACACTAGGCTGTAATACTCACGCCTGTAATCCCAGCACTTTGAGAGGCTGAGGCAGGTGGATCACCTGGGGTTAGAAGTTCAAGACCAGCCTGACCAACTTGGAGAAACCCCATCTCTGCTAAAATTACAAAATTAGCCAGATGTGGTGGTGCATGCCTGTAATCCCAGCTACTTAGGAGGCTGAGGTAGGAGAATTGCTTGAACCCAGGAGGCAGAGGTTGCAGTGAGCTGAGATCACACCATTGCACTCCAGCCTGGGCAACAAGAGTGAAACTCCAACTCAAAAAAAAAAAAAAAAAAGATCAATACACTAAGCAATTCCCACCAGTCCCACAGAGGAAGAATAATGCCACTCACCCATCAGCTTCCATCTTCTTCCTCTTCTCAATGATCTGCAAAAAGAACAGGATGGTCTAGCACCAAGCTGTCCATCTAAGCTCACCTGAGGCCCAAGGCTGACCTCTCACTTCCATGGCTCTCCAGCCCCTTGCCTGTTCCTAAATCTGTAGGCCAATGTCTTCTCCCAACTGAAACCCTCCCACCCAAGGGGCCATCCTACTTACTGCACTAATCTTCTTCCACTGGCGATCAAGCTCTGCTTTGTCATTGGTTTCCTTGAAGCGCCTGGTTTTCCGCCCTTCAGACATTTTGATACCATACTGGAATGCAGCCCTGAAAAAAGCACAGTTGGGGAAAGAATGCATCAGAGATTGCATAGCAGTGACGAGGTCTTCCCAGAGTCCTGTAGGCAAAGAACTTGGTTGGGAATATCTCAGTCAGACCACACCCTCTAACCTTATGTGCACTATTCCACTAAATCCCCACACGCCTCCTCACGCCCTGCCCATGATCAGTACCAACTCACTTGGGCAAAGCCTCCTTGTTGTTCATATACTCGCTGTATTCCTCCTGGGTATCAAAGTCCCAACGGCCTAAAGGCCCCTTCTTGTTACCCTGTTGCAGGACAGAATGGGGGGATGGGGAAGGAAGAGATGTCAGTGGAAATAGAATTTCAGCCCTTGATTGAAGCCAGACTCTCCCATAATTCCAGGTTTCACAATTCATATATCATACCCTGATAATAATAAATGCTTATTATATACTTACTATGTGACATGCATTATTCTGTACACTAAATGCATATCTCATTTAATTCTCATTTTTAAAAATCCTTCAAGAGGGAACTGTATTTTTCTCCATTTTCCTGATGAAGAAACTGAGGCATAAACAGTAAAAGAACTTGACAAGTTCATAAAACTAATAAATGGTAGAGGCGGGATTAAACAAGGCTCCAAGATTAAACCATGCTACTTCAATACAATGAACTCAGGGGAAGAACAGAGATTTCTTCATCACTAGTGGCAATAGTGTTTTTTTTCTTTTTAATTTTGCTTAAGACTTAAGAGGAAAATTCAATCCTGGCCAGAATAAAATTTAGTTATTTTCCAAAGACTGCAGT